ATCATCATGCATGCAGTAGGTGTCTATGCAGAAGTTCACGAAACCATCACTGGGTCTACCTACTAGCACCTTCCCTCTGAGAAACATCACTCCTTCCCAAAGGCTCGTTCTCCTAACTTTGACCGTGCTACACTACCCTCAAGTACAAACAGAAAAGACTTCCTTCCCTTATATTCTCTCCCACTGCTCAGAAGCATTCCAATTAAAGGAAGAAATGACTTTGTGTCTTGTGGGTCCTTAAGATGTGGTGGCCAGAGTCCTGGGCTAGGAGTCAGACCACCAGACCCCACCCTGGTTCTATCACCAGTTCACCACTTCTCCTCTCTGGCCTTAGCCTCATCTATAAAATGAGGAGTTGGATGAGTTTCTCTTTATGAGCCCTGCTCTAATGTTTCCCTGCTCTGCTCTACTGATTGCTACCAAGGCTGGGAGATGCCAACGTCTGCAAGCCAACATTTCTCCAAACACTCCCAGAAACAGCAGACAACCTCCAGCATCCCAAGCAGGCTGGTGCCAAAAGTGTGAGCACAGCCAACTGCCTGCACTCAGAGCTGGAAGCTAGAAATCAGGCAAATCCGCAGGGCCAGGGAGGGTCCCAGCAGAGTGCAGGATGCTCCTGCCAGGGTATCCTGTTTCCATCCAAAGCTTTTCCTACAGAGATGCTCTTACTCATAGGATAAGGATAGACAAAGCCTCTAAAGGAATCAGAAACATGTGAACCAGGCCAGGGCAGGAAGTAGAGTTAAAGGTTATTTATTTTTCGGGGGATGCCGAGGCGGGCGGATCACAAGGTCAAGAGATCAAGACCTTCCTGGCCAGTATGGTGAAACCCCATCTCTACTAAAAATACAAAAATTATCTGGGCATGGTGGCACGCATCTGTAGTCCCAGCTACTCAGGAGGCTGAAGCAGGAGAATAGCTTGAACCCTGGAGGCAGAGGTTGCAGGAGGATAGGAAATAAGGAATCACTCTTCATTATCTGCTGCTTATGTTAAATTACTTTATGTCATCCTGCATGCAGTAGTTGTCTATGCTGAAGTTCACGAAACCATCACTGGGCCTACCTACTAGCACCCTCCCCCTGAGATCTCACCACCGCACTCCAACCTGGCGACAGAGTGAAACTCTATCTCAAAAAAAAAATATATATATATATATATACTATTTTAGTTAAGGTCTAATAAACAGGAAAATGCCCATATGCATGTATGTCTTCATATAAATACTCATAAAATGAACACATCTGTGAAACTGACACCCAGATCAAGAAACAGGATACAGCACCCTTTTGTGAATCCCTTTTGTGCCCCTTCCAGTCACTGGTCCCTGAAGGATAACCACCATTCACACTTCTGGCACCATTGATTCCTTTTGCCCATTTTGAACTTTCACAAATGGAAAAAAGCAGCACAGACCCTTCTGAGTTTGCCTTCCTTTGCTCAACATTACGTGTCTGAGCTTTATCCATTGTTACATGTAACAAATTGTTGTACATTTTCATTTTTGCATAGTTAGGACTTAATGAAGAGCTAAAATCAATGAGAGGGCCCTGAGTCTACACTAGGGTGCTCACTGACAGCCAAGTAAGGAGGTTTACATTGAGCTCCCCAGACATCAGGATGATCCCCCTGCTCTTCTTCCTGCAGAGTCCCACGCCTTCCTCCTAGAAGGCTGCAGAGGCAGAAGATGGGGCCTTGACACTCCAAACCTACTTCAAAGGCTCGATCTGGTCACTGTTGAAAGCCAGAAGCTCTTGTTCATGAACAATTACCCCATGCCCAGCTCTGAGAGGGATTCCCCACTCGGCATCTCATTTCATCCCCATGACCATGAGCTAGGTGATGGTACTCTTTCTGTCTCACAGCTAAAAAAGCTGAGGCTCAGAGAGGGCAGATTGTCCTAATGTTGCACAGCTAGGACAGGGACCCAAACCCCAACCCATGTGACCGCAAAGGCCAAACCTCTCCACCACTCTGTGTTGGCAGGGAATTCACCAACTGGATCTGGTCCCCATGCCACCAGCCTCATGTAACACTGCTTGCCCCTGGCCCACTTTCCAAGGCCATACCAGCCTCCTGCCGGCTCCCCAGGTCCCAGGCACTTCCCCACTTCAGGGCTCATCCATGCTGCTGACTTGGCTTGTGCATTTACCCCTCAGTTCTCAAATGAGCAGTCACTTCCTCAGAGCAATCTTCTCTAACCACCCAGTTGGAACTACGTCCCCCATCATTCCCTTGCAGGGCATCCTTTTCTCTCTTTTCTTAGCCCTTAACACACCTTATGGTGATTTATCCCTTAGCATCCACTTGTCTAGTGCCTTTCTCCACGAGCCTGGGGAGCATAAACTGCCAGAGGACAGGACTGTGTCTGTTTTGTTTTCCACTGCTTGGACGGTACATGGCACACGGTAGGTCCCCAAGAATATGTTAAGTGAAGATCAGGAGGGCAGGAGAGAAGAATAGGACTGTCCCTTCAGAAGCTGAGTGGTCATCCAAAGGCAGCTCTAGTTCTAGCCTGTTCTGTGGCCCCAGGCAAGACCCTTCGCCTCTCTGAGCCTCCATTTCTTCAACTGTCAAGTGAGAGGCCTGAAAGACAGGACCTCTAAAGGCCTTCTAGGTCATCTGACCTCTAGACCACAAATCCTAGGACATCTGGCCACTCCAAAGGCCACTGGCCCCTAATCCCTGGGCCTCATCTGCTGCTTACTCACCTTTTGCCCCAGTAGCACTTTAGAAGAATAGGGGAGGTGAGAATCACCCCAAGACATCCCAGACTATGAGACGCATGGGATCTCCACACCCTGTTGCAGGTAGAGGACCAGAAAACATGAGGTCTCTTCTGGGTCTAATAGCACATGTCCTTGATATATGGAGTCAGGGAGAGACAAGACTAAGAAGGAATCGTAAATGCAATCCCCAGGAAGCTGCTTCTACTTCCTTCTTCAGAGTCCCACTCCCCACAACTTCTCAGTTTCTCTGCCCACCCAGACTCTAGTCCAATCCAAGAGTGCCCTTGTTAGCATGTGTGCAGCTGACTCGCTGCCAGGGTGGAGCTCCAGGAGGGCAGAGACTGTCTGATCTTGCTCGTCTTGGTACCCACAGTACTCAGCACAGACCCCTACACGCAGGGCATGGCCAAGTGAGGGCACTGAATCGAGCACCATTGGCAGGGCTGGCCGTGGTTTGTTGCTGAGAATGCCACCTTTCTGCTGGTGCCACCAAGGGCAGGAGAAGAACCTGAGGCAAAGAGAACCTGGCTTCCCACAAGGCAGGCTCCAGTGACCAACCCCAGCCTCTAGTCCTATGTTCTCTTCCTATCCCTTCACCAGGCCCGAGACTGGGAGAAGTCATCCCCCTCTGGGTTCTCTGCAGTTCTTTGCTCCCCCACGCACCATCCTGCCAGCCAGGATGAACTCCCTGATCTTGAAGCACCTGCTGTCTCTCATTCTCTTTGGAGTGAAGCTCTTCTGACTTTGAAGCCCTGTTTTATCTTTGAAAGTAAAAAAAAAAAGCAAGACAATTAGTCCTGACCTAGGAGTTCTATAAAGCGAAAAGAACTCCTGTTTTGCCTGTTGGATACAGTAGACACTTGCGAAAGGAAACTAAATCTTGGGGGCCCCACGTCCCTAAGCTAAAGAGAAAAGTCAAGCTGGGAACTGCTTAGGGCAAACTTGCCTCCTGTTCTATTCAAAGTCACCGCTCTGCTAACTGAGATAAATGCATATCTGACTGCCTCCTTTAGAAAGGCTGACCAGAAACTCAAACGAATGCAACCATCTGTCTCTTATCTACCTATGACCTGGAAGCCCCCTCCCCATTAGAGTCTTCCCTTTAGAGTTGGAGTTGTCCTGCCCTTGCAGACCAAACCAATGTTCATCTTGCATATGTGATTGATGTCTCATGTCTCCCTAGAAGGTATAAAACCAAACTGTGCTGTGACAACCTTGGGCACAGGTCGTCAGGACCTCCTGAGGCTGTCATGGGCGTGCGTCCTCAACCTTGACGAAATAAACTTTCTAAATGAACTGAGACCCGTCTCAGGTTTTCCAGGTCTACACATTCTAAATTCCCATGTTTTCATGCTGCACTGTGTGTGAAGGGGTGAGGTTAGGTGCTCTGATGAGCATGTGTGAGTGTACAAATGCCAAGCTCATGGGAGAGGGCATAATAGGTGTGCAGGTACAAAATGGACTAGTCAGAACCTTGGCTATGTCACTCACTGGCTCAGCAACTTTGGGCAACTTGCCCAAATGCTCACCACAGTTTCCTCATCTGGAAAATGAGAGTAAAAATAATGCCTATTTCATGCACTGTTGTGAGACTCAAACTTCAGGACTGGTGTTTTGTAATCACTACACTACCACTTAAATCTTAGCAGCTGGTAGAAATGGAAAGCAAGAAAAGAGCTTCAGAAAACCTTAATTTCTATCCAAATAGTAACTATAGTACTATCAGATCTGATTTTCACCCTGGCTGTGTTCTGGGCTCAGCAAACCTGAAAATGCACCAAGTAACAAAGATCCCAGGAAAACTTCATGACAGGGCCCGTGTGGCTGGTTACTCAACATAAATCCATTCTCAGGAGGATTACCTCACCTCCCATCCAGGTTCGGAGCTTAAAACAAAACCCTGGGAACCATGGAGAATCCCAAGTGAGGCTCAGAAGAAAACCAACAAGTCAGGTCTCTATCCAGAGCCTGGGGGAACTTCATGAAAAAACTAACAGATCAAACAAGAATCATGAAGGTTTTCCCTGCCAGCTAGATTATGCTGAAAACACAGAACTCAACAATTCTCATCCCTTTTACTGGCAAGTCATTATTTTCAGAGCAATGACTATGTGCAAAGTCACCCAGGCAGGTGAATAATCCTCAGGTTCATTTTTTAAAGCTTCCCACTGGTCCTGTGGCCCTGCCTTCCAACACCAACTGACAATTGTGCTAGAAGCAGCATGACTTTGGCTCCCTCAGCATCCCCCCACCTCTTACACAGTCTCCTACCTCCCCAGCTCCTCTCCGATGTCATAAAAGTCCTCCACCTTCTGCTGCTTGAATGGCTCCATGTTTGGGCTCCTCATTGAGGTCTCGAACATACAACCCTGAAATGAGAAGAAACCTGTGGTTAGGACAGCCATCCAAATTAGCACAAGCCTAAGAGTCTAAGGCCTAAACATAATTGGCTGCAAGGGAGCTAATAATTTAGTAATAATCCACAGCCTTGGCTCCTCAAGAACTGCCCTGCTCAAGCCTTTTCTCACTTGCAGCTGATGATGTATGGTTCTTACTTAATTTACATGAATTCAAATTTGTTAAGGAGACAGGAAAGGAGAGCTCCTCAGGTCTTCAGACCTGTTTGAAGAAGTTCAGAAAAACATCCATGGTGAACTTCAGCTATTTTCATTAAATTCAAAACTACTGCAAAAAGAGGCAGCTATTGTACAGTTTAAAAAAAAAAAATGGCCAGGCGTGGTGCTCACACCTGTAATCCCAGCACCTTGGGAGGCTGAGGTGGGTGGAGCACTTGAGGTCGGGTGGAGCACTTGAGGTCAGGAGTTCGAGACCAGCCTGGCCAACATGGTGACACTCCATCTCTACCAAAAATACAAAAATTAGTCGGGTATGGTGGCACGCACCTGTAATCCCAGCTACTCGGGAGGAGGCTGAGGCATGAGAATCACTTGAACCCGGGAGGCAGAGGTTGCAGTGAGCCGAGATCGTGCCACTGCACTCCAGCCTGGGCAACAGAAAAAATAAAAAAGCACTAGCTTTAAAGTCAGAAGTCCTAGATACAAGTTCCAGTCTTGCTTGGGTAAGCCACCTAAGCTGCCAAAGACTTAGCTTCTTCATCTGTAAAATGGGGCTAATACTGTAAAATCAACTTCAAGTCATGAGATTATTTTGTAAACTAGAAAATGCTGTTAAAAGGTGAGATCACTATCATGATCTCAGCTCCCTCAGGGGTTGTACCACCCAACTGCGTGTCTGAACTAATCTGTAAACTCTCTCACTCATCACCCCCGAAAGAAAGATGGGCAGGAGGAGCGAGGCAAATTCCAAAAGGTGCCAGGAGTCAGGAGCCTGAGGTGCTAGTTCCAACTCTGCCTGCAACTAGCCCTGTGATCTCCTCTCTTGTCAGAAGGGCCTCAGTGTCCTCATCTGTAAAATCGAGCCAACTCTGCCTGCCCCAGGCATCTCATTAAAAGCCAGAGGCCAACTCTGAGCCATGGGGAGCACTTACCACTCCACCAGAAAAGACTGTCTGCATCCTCTCCTGGGATCCCTCTGCCCCAAGGGGCTTACCCATTCCTGGGACAGCCACGTGCCACTCTGGACAACACCCCAAGAGCAGGGCCCAGGGCACAGTCTGCAAATCGCAAGAATAAAACCAGCTGCCTGTGGATGTGTCTTCCAAGGGTCTTCAGCAAAGGCCTCTCGGAGCTCATTTTGGTTAGCACTGGCAGCTTTTCTGCTGACTGCCAATCAGATCCCAACCACATGTGAGCTCCATGAACCCCAAAAGACTATTTTCACCAGGCTAGGTGGAGGAACCATTCCATAAGGGCACATCTCATCAACGCCAAGTGGCTGTAGCTGTCCTAACTCTCAGAGGGTATATAAATTTCACCCTCTTTCCACCACTTTAGCCCCCTGCAAACCAGAGCTTCATTACCAAGATGCCATCTGCCTCTCTCCCTTCCACTGAGGCACACAGAACCTGAAGACCCTCAGGAGGAGCTGGCCTGGCTCACAGGGCTTACTCTCGGGGTCACCTGCCTGTGGGTGCCCAGGCTCCCTCATGCATCCTCCATGCTTGGCCAGGACCGGGGTAAGCATGAAAAGAGCAGGCTCTAGGAGCCCCAGTTCCAGACTAGTGTGAGTGTATATTAGCCTTGTGATCCACAGCAGGTGGGCACCCTCTCTGGGACTCATCCCCTCACCTGTAAACAGAGTGATACTATCTATATCACATACTTCACACATCCATGTGGGGATAAGGATATAAACTACTGTACAAATAAGAAAGATGATTATTGCTGTGATTTAACCCATGCCAGGGAGCCCTCTAGCAAGTTTGGCTTGACCATAATCAGAAGTTTGGCACCCCCTCACCCCCAACATCCTGGCAAATCTCCCGAGATTGGCCCAGGGAGTAAAGGGAGTACTATCTACCATCTTATTTTCGCTGAAAAAACAATTTTTCCTTCCAAATAAACAATTTGGGTCAGGTCCTGTGGGGTGGGGTTACCAATTTCACACAGCTAGATGGAAGCAGGAAACTCCAAAAAAATTCTGTTGGCAGAAACCCTGAGAGTGGTCCCAGGAACAGCTAAGATCTCCCATTTGGTGAGAGGCCAGCTCCATTTGCTGAGAGCAGGATTCAAAGAAGCCCCAGTTCCCAGGAAAATGGTGAGCCTCTGCCTTGGGTTCTACATCTTGGGTGGCCAGGAGTAGGGGGGGCAGGTGAGACCCCTAGGGACAAACTAGGTCCACCAATTAGGCTTAGGTCATCTTTCTAGCCTTTGCCTCCTCCCTTACCTATCCTATATTCCAGTCAAAGTTGACCTTTCCCATGCCCTTAAAACTTTCATCCCTGCTATGTCTTGGCTAAAGTGGGGCCCTTGCCAGGGCAGGCCCAGCTGGAAAGCCCTGGAGAGTGGGCAAAACTGCCCACTTCCCAAAAGACCCAGCCAAATGCTACCATCTCTGAGTGGCTCCATGATCCTTGCCCTCCCAAAAACAGATGACAATTCTCTAACCTCTTCAAGTTCCCCAAGAGTGCTCTTCATGCATTTTTAGGGCTCGAGTTGATCACATTCTGGCCATGTTTATGTCTAACCCAGAGAGTGAGAATAGATTCCATAGTCATCACACAGACCAGGGTTCAAATCCCAGCTCCGTCACTTACTGGCACATTGTGCTTAGCTGAGCACAGGATACCTTTTCTGAGTTTCACATTCCTTCCATGGAAAGTGAACGTAAGACAATGTCTAGTGTTGGTGAGTATGTGCGGCAACTAGAGCTCTCAAACACTGCTGGGAGGGGTATACACTGGGACCACCACTTTGGAAAACTGTTTGGCAATTTCTTTGGACATATCTAAGAGAAATGAATGCAGATGTTTTCCCAAACGATCCACGTTAGAATGGTCACCGCAATACAATTAGTAATAACTAAAAACTGGAAACCACCAAACGGTTATTAATAGAAGACTGGATAAACAAACTGAGGTACTATATACCCATACAATGGAATCATTATCCAGCAATGAGATTAACAAACTACTGCTACCTGCAACAACATGGACGAATCTCAGAAACATAATGTTAAATGGAAGTAGCCAGACACAAAAGACGCATACTGTGTGATCCCATTTAGGGAAAATTGATGCATGGTGCTAGACGTCACAAGAGTGGTTATCCCCTCACTCAGGATAGTTGGAAGGGGAGCTTCTGAGGCTTCAGAGTGCCGGCAATGTTGTTTCCTGATCTGCGTGGTAGTTAGACGGATATACGGGATGTAGGTTTATTTTGTATGTGGTCAAAATTTTACATAATTGTAAAAAATAAAACTAATATGAAACAAATGAGGTAACTCATGTGTAATTTTTTAAATGGTCCCTGGATAACGTGAATTCCTTCCCTCCTCTTGCCCCATAAGGGCAAGAATTGTGACATTCTCGCCTCTGTCCCCTTGTAGTAGGCTAGTATACAGCAGGCACTATATAAGTGTTGGCTGATTTTAACTTAGCTCCCCAGCCTCCTTTCTCAAGGCCGCTGCTCAGATGCTCATCAGGTAAAACAACTGAGAGCCACTTTAAGCACTTTCCTAACACCACTCCTAAGGAGAATTTGCATTTTACCAGTTTAGAAACAAACTAAAGGGGTGAAACTGAGGTGGAATTATTGTCACCAGCTATGACCCAGATAAGGACCCAGAGGCACAAGGACCTTTCCAGCCTTGAAAAGCTGAAATCACATGGCAGAGGGGAGGGACACAGTTACAACTTTTGGCCAGAGGCACAGGCCATCAGCTCCATACGCTTCCAGGATGATACCCACCTTAATGCCCACATTTCTCCTGATGGAGTCCTTGGAATTCAAATTCCTGCCTACAACTCTAATACTAGGCAACACTTCAGGGGGCTACCACAGATTTCCTAGAACCCCACAGAAAGGGATCCCACAGATCATCTATTTAGGGATTTTTAGACCTGCTCAGGATCACCAGGGTGAGAAGGGGAAGCCAGAGCAGTTCCATGTTATCCATACTACATGTTGAGGTTCTGGGTAAGAATTCACTGTGAAACAAGTTTGAAAACCACTGCTGTCTGGTCTAACCCACTTGTTTTTACAAGAGGAAGCTGAGATCCAGACAGGGAAGAGACTCGCTGAACATCACATGTGTGACCCATCCTACTCCTCTTCCCAGATTTTCTTCTGTTGATTGCCACCCCAACTCCTCCAAGATGGCACCAGGGCTGCAAAGTCAATGACTTCCTGAGGGACAAGCTAGGAGGAGGTGTCCAGGGCTAGAAGATCACCTCATAGGAAACTCTCAACACTCACGAAGCCCTCTCCCCCACTGGCCCAGCTCACTCTGCAAAGTGAACTCTCTCAGTTCCTCACCCCACCTCACCAAGTGCAAGTGAGTGAAACGGGACCACAGCAAGAGGGCAGGCAATGGTTGGGCCAAACACACACGATTGTCTCACTACACACACCCCCATTAGGAATCAGCATACTCAGGCTCTGGAGAGGCTGCCAACAGAAGGGATGGGGCGCTGGCATTACAGAGCTCCTCTCTACATTCCAGGCTTTGACCCATCATGGTCTCTGATGAGGAAGCTGGGGCCCACAGAAGGTCAGCCACCTGCCTGAGTTGACCCAAGAGAAACTTGGTCTCTCTGGCAAAGATCCAGCTCCCTTGGGAAGCCTGCTTGTTCACCCCACAGCTAACAAATCAGGAGGCCTCAGGGAGGTGGGCAGGGTGGGTGCGGGTCTCATTCCTGCCAGCCAGGAACTTACCCCAGAGGAGCAGACCTCCAGCCACATCCACACACCCCTAACTCCTCTGCCCAAGTCTCCTCAGAAGCTGCTGAATCATCAGTGGTGCCACTTGAGGTGCTCAAAAAACATCTTGGGAGATGAGTGGTTTGGGGAAGGACAGGGCTCTGAAGTTAGCTGTGAAGAGGCCAAGGCGCCAGGGCCTCTTAGGTCAACAGGACTCTCCCAGGAATACCTTCCACAGAGGCAGTTGAGAAACGCAGTGTCAGAAACCAGAGCAGCTGCCCTCCAGTGGATTCCAGTGTACAAGAAGTCAGGCACTGTCCCTGCATCTGCCCCCGAGGCAGCCAGCTATGGTGCCCTCTTCTCCAGTGTGCACCCCTACCTTACCATTACCTGCACGGCTTCAACGAAGCTCACCTCTCTGGGCCTCGTTTTCTCTTTTGTAAAGTAACAATACCAGTTTCCACCGTGCAGAGTTATAGTGAGGGTTAGCCAGACCTATGCAGGCCTTGGGACTTCCACAATGCCTGGCTCAGAGTCCTAGACAACTGTTAGCAACGCCCTTCCAAGCCCTTCCACCCCAACCTGCAGCACGCGTGCTGGCTGCCCCTCGCCCACCCTAGCTCTGCCCCAGGCCGGGGCGCCTGACGGCGGGGACCACAGCTTCATTCGTCCCCACAGGAGGCTCAGACATCTGAGCACCCTCCTCGCATCACCTCCTTGTGCCAGGCGGGAGCAGGAGGTGAGAGAGTCGGCCCAAGCTGAAAAGACTTGGCCGGGAGCTGGGCGTGCTCTGCCCGTTCCAGGGGGCCTAACTCGATGGACGTTTGTGTCCCATCTCCCTGCTAGGTGCTTGGCTCTGCCCACCGCTCCCATCCTGTCTCCCAGGTCAAAGTGCCAGGCTCCGGAGGGCGCCCCAGGGCAGCAGCGGGCAGCTCCAGCGCTCCGGTGGCGGCCACAATGCCCCGGGCCACGGCGTCAGGCACTGGGGCGTCGGGCCCGGGATCTGCGAGCGAGTGCCCGGATCTCTTGGCCCCGCCAGCCCCAGCCCCGGGCGCTGCTGCTGTCAGGCCGCGCGCCCCGTCCTGCCCGTCGAGCCCGCAGACAGGTGCTACTCACGGCGGGAGGCTGCGCTGCGGCGACCGCGGCGGGCACTGGGGACACGGCGGGGTGAGCTGGGCTCGGCCCTGCAGTCCTCTCCTCCCAGAGCGCCCGGCGCCCGCCCGCCGAGCAGCCGAGGAGCCGAGGGGGCGGAGCGGCCAGCCCCGTCCCAGGCGCCGGCTGGAGGCGCGCCCGACTGCGCGGGACGGGGCTCTGGGCGCCCCCTGCTGGAGCCCCCTCCGGACAACCCCGGGGCGAGAGCCCAGCTTCCCGGCCAGGTAGGGGACGCCCCAGGGCTCCCAGGCTCCCGGGAGAGCGGGGAGAGTCGGTAGCAAGACCCTCTGCGCGTCCCCACCGGCTCTGCCGCGCACATGCTACGTGGCCTCGGGCAAGTCGGCTACCCTCCCCCGGCCTTATCTGGAAATCGATTTGAATGAGCTTATATGTGTGATATGGTCTGGCACAATCCTCAGAAAAGGGCAATTGCGTGCCTCTCTCCCCACCATACACACCGTGAGCGAGGAAGCCCCACTGAGGAATAGGCCGCCTCCTCCCTCCCAGCCAGCTCTGCTCCCTACACCACAGACTCTCCTGGAAACCTCACGCCCACAGCGCATGGCAAGGTGGGGGCTGCGATGAGAAGGGCCGCTCTGCTCCTCACTGCCCCCGACCCAGCGTGGGAGCGGCCTGCCCTAGTTTGCCCTTTGTCCTAGCATGGTTGGTGAGTGAAGCCTCCATCTCGCCATCACGCCTTCTCTAATAGAGGACTTGGGAGGGGTTGCTCCTCTCTGCCCTCTGCCAAAAAATCCCGAAGAAAAAAAGGAATGAGAGTGGAGTGGGTGAAGGGAGGAAGGAAGGGAAAATAGAACTTAAGCCAAGTTTATTAGTCTTATTTCAAAACAAGAGGCTGTTTAGAGGAAGCAAATGAGGACCCCCCCAACCCCTGGAATTTCCATCCCTAAGTCACCCACGGGGCTCCTCAAAAGGGCCTTAGATTCAGTCCTACCACCAGGTTCAAAGCCCTGCCCTGCCACTCCGTATGTATGTTCTTGGGCATGGCTCTTTCTTCATCAGTAAAGTGGGAGAAACGCTCCTTCCGGTAGCTCCTAATGAAGCTATGGTGGGGTTGAGATGAGATGGAGTGTGTAGGACCTCTACCAGTGTGAGCACACACACACCTTCAGCCTTTTGGACATTGGGACAAATACAGATGGACCCCGCCCTCCAGCTGAGCAGTGCCTCCGCGTCCAGGACATCCTTGAGAAAGAGTTCCTTGTTTACAAACTTCACAATAATCCAGAACAGTGCAGTCAGCGAGCCTTCTCTCCTAAGAGCACCATGATATATAGAGTAATATCCAAGACCAGAGGTGGCTTCTGATGTCGATGGACCTAGGGGAAGGACACCCACTGGTGAAGTTTCACCAACATGGGGAGTCCCCCACCAAACTATCCCTAAACACCTCTTCCTCCATTTCCATTTATCTGTCACGGTTGACAAACCATTACCAGCCTTGGTGGCACAGGACAACAATTTCATTATGTTCATGCATTCTGAGGGACAGAAGTTCAGACAGCACAGTGTGTATGGCTTATTTCTGCTGTGCAGTGTCTGGGATTTCAACTGGGAACACCTGAATAGCTGGGGGCTGAAATCATCTGGAGGCATCTCCATTCCCATACCCACCTGGGCTGTGATGAAGCCAAGCCCGGGCTCAGCTGACCCTGCTGATCACCTACATGTGGCCTCTTCATCTCTTTCCCTTGAGCCTCATGCTTAATACCTCATTTTCAGCAGCAGCAGCCCCTTGCATGAGTCAAAAGAAACATTCTTGGATTTAGCAATTGACAAAGTTAGTCAGAGTCCATTGCAGCTGGGAGGGTCATTGTCAATTGACCCATCCAGCCTGGCCACTTTTCAAATGAGGAAACTGAGGCTGGGAGAAGGGAAGTGACTTACCCAACATCACACAGCTGATGAGAGACAGAGCTAGGATTAGAACGAGGCCTCCTCCAGATTCTGTCTGGTGCCCCTTCCACTGTACCTGTCAAAATGCAATTACCTAGGAAGGTACCATCTGGAGATGCATCTTATGCTTGAGGTTGGGGGAGTTCATCAGACCCTTACCTGAGGACAGCGACAGGGCACTGAACATAGGACCAAGGTGGACATCAGCAGCAAAAGGGAGGCCCCAAGGACAGTGGCAATGAAGACACAAACTCCAGAATGAAGCCAGAGGCAGTCCAGGTATTAAGAACTAAGAATTATCCAACCCAGCTCCAGTTCCTGCATGGTTCCCACGGCTGACCAAATCGAGTGTAAATGCCTCACCCTAGCATTTAAGGCTCCAACCCTGATTTTCCTGCCATGTATGCACCTTCTCTTCCCTCCTCTGCTTGCACATCCAGCTCTTTTGCCAGGTTGGATTATTGGCTGTTCCTGCCTCCATGCTTTTGTTTATTTCCACTACCACTCATCCCGTTCTACAGAATCTTATCTATCCTCTAAGGGCCTTCTAAAGTATCATGTCTTCCACAGAAACTTCCCTGGTCTGCCCTCTAAATACCTCTCTCATTTGAACCCCACCACTCTTGGTTGGTAACCCTCTTGTCATCTTCCTTCCTCTATTTCAATTAGTGTCTACTTCTCTTTTTCTCAAGGGCAAGTACAATTTCTTGTCCATCTTTGAACCCATACAGTGCTTGATATCCCAAACCCAGTAAAGGTTTCTTAAACTGAATTAAGGAAGGTAAATATCACAAGATAAGGAGCCACAGCTGTCTTGTTTTCTATTGTGCCCTAAGAGCACCCAAGCACCTGGCACTTAGTAGATGCTCAATAATCTTACTTCAAGCGCTTCCCTTCTAGGGGGATGTCATTATCCTCTTTTACAGATGATGTAACTGAGGCTTGGGAAAGTTGATTGACCCAAACTTATCCAATTTATAAGTGACTGAGCTGTGACGTGAATCTTGCCTACTGGTCTCCAAAGCTGTTCCCTCTGCTGCCTTCCCTCAACTGAAACTTCCAAGGTTTCTAAAACAGTGTTAATATGGGACTTTTCAGCCCAGGCAGTACATCAGAGTAACTGTGAATAACATGGGGTGTTTAAAATCCCCCATGCTCAGACTGTACCCTACATCAATTACATCAGAACCTCTGAGGATGGGTTCTGGATATTAGTTTTTGTTAAACTCCCCACATGATTCCCAGTGCACAGGTTGAGACCCAGATCCAGTCTGTTCATGTCACAGAGACCTGGGGAAATTCTCAACCCCTCAATGGCAAACGCATCTGAGTACCTGCTTTGTACAAGACATTCCAAGGGACTGTGAGATGGTAGAGTCACAGGAACTGTGCTTCCCAGGAATGAGAATACAAGCCCATAGATAAAGATGTAACCATGGTAGGCAGCAAAGGGCACTAGTCATGGTGATATCCTAAAGCATACTTTGGTGACTGGCACGTTTACAGAGCCTAAAAACCTCCTGACAAGGGGGCAAAGTGGGAATTAAGATGCTGCATGTGTTGGCCATGGCAGATGGCACCTGGGCTGGCTTACAGCATGTGTAGTGTGAGGGCTAAATGCAGAGACTCTGACGCCAGACTGCCTGGGTCCACACTCAGGCATCCCAGTATGTAGCTTACGTACCATGTGGTCTGGGGCAGGCTACTTGATCTCTCTGTGCCTCATTATCCCCACAGGTCAAATGGAGCTTATAGTAGCATTTATCTCTTGGGCTGTTGTGAGCGTGCAGTTACTTTTCAATTAGATCAGTGTCTGGCACTTGGTAAAGTGCTCAATGATTGTTAACTGTTATTATTACTCCCTAAATGTCTGGCAGTAAGCTCCCCTGGGGAGGAAATGGATCTTATTCATCTCTGCGTCCCATCCCACCCCTAGCCGGGCCCAGAGAATTGCCAAATGCAGTCTGAAATGCAGTCTTCTTGACAACGGGTCCAGCCCTGACTCTCAGGCTCTCCGCCAAGGGAGTGCACAGGTGATTCCTCCCCAGCGGGCTTGCCTACTGGGTGGAAGGCCGGCAGGAAGCTTCTTCCTCCCAAACTGACCTGGTGGCCTGGCTTCTCAGCCCTTCCCAGCCATGCCCACTCTGCCCTGTGCCATCTGCCCTCCTAGATGGGAGGTGTGGAGCAGGCTTGGCTTGGCAACCCTTCCTGCTTCCCCCCTACCCCTGGGCCCACTGGTTCTTGCAGCCAGAGGCAGCTGCTTCAGCCTCCAGCCTTGCTGGACTCAGCACCACAGGGATGGGGCAGGGAAGGGGAGGAGAGAAGAGAGGAAGGAGGTGGGGGATGGGAGGCCTTGCCTCTCTCTCTAGAGAATCTGGGGGATGGGGATTTCCTGGACATGTGTACACACTCATTCACTCTGCAAACATTCAATAGGACCTCCTGGGGTTACGTGCTCGAGCAGGGGCAAATAAAGACCCAATGCCATGAAAGGTCAGATCTACTCCAGAAGGAGCCTCCAGAGAAAAGGGAGGCTTGAGTCAAGCTTGAAAGAAGAGTAGGGATCACCCGGAGGACCAGAAAAGTCCATAGTGGGGCAAGGGAGGCAGGGCACATGGGGTGTCAGCAGCTGTGCAGGTAAAGGGCTGCGGGTATGAAACCACTTGTCATTTACCGCCCCTATTTCCACCTAAGCCAGCACAGGGCCACACTATGGGTTCATGACCCATGCATATGCCATTGCCTTCTATTCGGGACAGAGGCTGGTGACATATTGTGTGGCCAGGACCCCTCAAACTATGCCCACCTTTAGGGCTACAAAGTCCAACCACCTACTTCTTTAGGCTCAGAAATCAGACAGGCCTATTTGTATTCCTGCTCATCCACTTTCTGAGCCTCCGTTATCTCATCAATAAAATGGGAATAATTACATCTTTTTCTCAGGGCTCATGTGAGGACCAGACTCACAAACACTGTGGCAGATGTTTGAGAGAGCACTGGCTTAGCACCATAAGAAAGGTTTGAGAGAGAGAGAGACAGAGAGAGAGAGAACTGGCACAAATGTCAACCTCCCTCCCAAACCAGATCCTTCTGTC